ATTCTACCTCCCTTCCTCACTCCCTTTCTCATTATAAAAAAGATAAATACTGAACAAAATGAAAAATTGTCCTCTTCTGATGTGACAAGATGACCTCTCTCTCTCTCTCTCTTCTCGGTCACCAGGGCAGCAGCAGGCCGGGTGCCACACACACTCCCCCTTTGAGCCATACACGGACCAGCCAGTGAGCTGCGGTGACCCACGGCATGACGAGCCCACGGCGAGGGTGAGGGGAGAGCGGCGAGCGAGGGGAGTGAGAGGAGATGATAGGAAAGTGAGGGGGAAGAGTGTGGGGAGGGTGAGGGAAGAGTACGGGGAGAGTGAGATGACACGGGAGGGTGAGGGGAGAAAAAATGAGAAAGGGTGAGGGAAAGTGAGATGAGAGTAGAAGAGAGTAGAGAGAGAGAGAGAGAGAGAGAGAGAGAGAGAGAGAGAGAGAGAGAGAGAGAGAGGAGGGATGGGGTGAGAATAAGGGAATGGGAGATGAGAAGAGATAAGGTGAAAAGAGAGTAATAGCTGAGGGGAGAGGAGGTGAGATGAACATGAAGGGAGGGAGGGAGGAGAACAATGAGAAAGGGAACATGTAAACGTAGGGAAGAAGAGAGAGAGAGCGAGAGCAGAAAAGGAAAGAGGTGGAAGTGGAATAGAAGAAATGAGAGAAGGAAAAGGAAAAGGAAAAAAAGATGGGATGAATGAAAGAGGGAGTAAGGGGTAGAAGAATGATGAAAGGAAAGGTAAGTGGCAGGGAGAGACTGAGGGAGGGTGAGGGGAGAGGAGTTATGAAGGGAAAGGGAAGAGACGGTTTAAGAGGAAGGAAAATTGGAATATAAAAACTGAGAGATTAACAAGAAATTAAGAGAAAAGAAAGAAGAAGAAAATATAGCAAACCAAACGGAAGACAAACAAAGGAAGAAAAAATGCAGAATTTTTTTTTCACAAGACAGTTAATACGAATACACGACCACGTAACACACACACACACACACACATACACACACACACACACACACACACACACACACACCTTGGCCACACAATTAACAACAATCACACAATGGCCGTCACCTTGCATGCAAATTTAAGTCATCAGCCGCCGATTGTGATGGACCGCCCGCCACCACGAGGAGAACGTTGGGTGAATCTCAAGGACGATGTGTATATAGATATTTAATCTTCATAAAAGTTATCAATTCGTCTATAGTTTGAGGAAAGGTGTAGAATTGTTTCTTAATTTAGGAGCTTTTAAATTGGTTTGGTTAGGTTCGAAATTCCGCGTGATGTTGACGGGAAATTCTCAGAAAACTTCCGAATGCATCTGGTATTGAGAGAGAGAGAGAGAGAGAGAGAGAGAGAGAGAGTTGAAGAATGGAACAATGAACAACTCAACATGAAAATTATATTTGAACAAACATCCTTAAAGACCATCATCATCTGAGGCAACACACACACACACACACACACACACACACACACACAAGACTGGCACTCATGGCTAGTTCGAGTATCCTCCAATCACAATCTTGATGGCCGCTGGAGGGAGTAAATAATTCTTTTTACCTCTCAAGTTTCAATGTATTCATCAATCAAAGCGCTGCCCCGTTATCAAGGGGGAAGAAGTGTTTTCTGCAGCCGAGAGAGAGAGAGAGACAGAGAGAGAGAGAGAGAGAGAGAGAGAGAGAGAGAGAGAGAGTGTGTGTGTGTGTGTGGTGGAGGGGAGAGTGAAGAGATTTATGTGCGTGTTATAATCATAAATATTCATTATATACACAGGTAAAACAGCCACTACAAGTCTTAATAATCTCACTTAATATTCTCGTCAGTCTTCACTTCAACATCTCTCGTTTACTGACTTTATTTTTACCTGAAACTTTAGGGACAAACTCGTGTGACCAGCGTATAAAGAACACACACACACACACACACACACACACACACACACACACACACACACACACACGGTGACAGTGAACGATATTATGTCTTTTCTTAACACTGTAGGTTTGCTGGGAAATAGATTGGTCGATAATCTAAACGGAAAACAAGAAGAAGACATATCTGGGGTTTTGGTGCAGGTGAATGTACTCTAGTGATAATGGAACAGCCAGCGAGCCCGTCTATTTTCACAGGCGTCAAGAACCCAAGTAGTGCCATAGGGGAAGAGTAATACATTGAGAGGCAAATTGAGGAATGTTTACTGGGACGCGGTCTATATATACATTTGTAGAACCGTGATGGTAAAAAATAAGAAAGACAAAATTTTTTACCGAGAAATCAAAATATTTAAGATAGTAAAAATGACAATCTATCCACATTATCCAAGATTATACCGCACCACAACCCCACCTCAAGACAATCACTCTACAAGATACCCCGCCCTCCCCTCTTAGGCAGCTATCAAACAGGGAGGTACTACCGCCTGGAAATATATTGGAAAATCATGTGTTGTCTAATGGTGGACCCTGCTGCAATATGACATCACAACAATTGTGACCAAGTCCCAGGTTGCTGATTTGGCTTTCTGCCTCCTTTACACACACTTGCAGGGTCTCAATTGTTTCTCTTAATATTGACAACACAACATACATATATCATTTCTCACTATTGATCTTCTTGTTTCATTTTTATTTTATTATTATTATTATTATTATTATTATTATTATTATTATTATTATTATTATTATTATTATTATTATTTTTATTTTATTATTATTATTATTATTATTATTATATTTTCGCCCCCAGTCCCTAATATGGGTCATTGACCTGTGCGCTGGTGGGCTAATCCAGTAAAAAAAAAAAAAAAAATTACACACCCGTTACCTTACAGCCCAAAGTCTCACCCGAGGGAAATATCTGCTACGTATTAATAACTCACCTAAATCAGTGTATAGAGGAGGTACTTAACCACGAAATCACGTCCTCGACACCGAAAAGATTTGTGTCACATTCTACCACACTCATCAACTCTTGTGGCAATAAGAGTCACTGAACATCATTACCCTGTGTATCTTCAAGTGATTTATTACTGTACACACTGAAGGAGAGCCTACCATGCCCCTACTTATCTTCTTTATAATTCCATACACAAACGCTCCACAGTTTGGTAGCACAAGTGACCTATATCGCTCACACAAAGACTAAATTAAACAACAGAAATTCCTTACAGTAAATCTTTGTCGGAAAAATTTGGTTCAACAAAGTAGCTAATGTTAATATAAGATAAATAAAATATGATAGTATAATTGTTCCTCGTTAGTGATCAGAATAACTATAACAACTTTGTCATGTTGTTCCCACACACAGGTCAACAACAAAGCCTTACTTAATATTCTTCAACATGAGCGGTTCAGTAAACTCCGTCCTATTCAGAATATCTCAAAATCGTTCTGGAACAGTTTATGACAGCTGGGAATGTCACACCTACCTACATGATGAAAGTCAAGAAAGTTAACTGCGAAAGATTTAAAATGTGAAGAATATTTCGATGTGTGTTTTTACTGTTCATAGTTCCTCAAGACCCGAATACATTTATTTTTTTTCTCGGATTAATTGCATTTTCCTAATGTAGCGACGCACGTAAACATTCAGAGCCAGAAAGTTAAATGTAAAAGCTTTAAGTTGAATAAAAAATTTCTGTGTGTGTGTGTGTGTGTGTGTGTGTGGTCGTGTGCGTGTGTGTGTGTGTGTGTGTGTGTGTGTGTGTGTTTTCTCAGTGCTGCCCTACACGTTTTTGTTCTTCACAGAGTACGCTACGTTATAAAATGTTTTAGTGGAAGTAAATTTCCCCCATCATTGCTGCATAATAACTATCAAAACAACAAAGCTATGCCTCTTCTATCTGCAGTCATATTTTGCAATATTGCAGACTCGTGCAAATTTATACCCAAGCTTAAAAATGATCTCTGGTGAAACAACACACGAATTAGTTAAGTTTTCCCTAACATATATTTTTCCTCCTGTGTTATAAATATTCCGCCATGTGTTAAGAAAATCATTTTTCAGTACATTTCAATTCCAGTAAAGTAAACAACTCAACTACTTAAATAATTCCTTGCAAGAGTGTCTGCAATATTTTGTTTTATATAATATTATCTTTGTGTATTTTCCTTCAATCAATAGTTTTAATTAACGTTTCTTTGTGTTTCCTGTTCTCCCATGTTTTTATTTTCCTTATTTCATTTTTTCTTCTTCCTTGTTTCTTCATCATTAGTTTTTTGGTGTATGTGTTATTTCAAGTCCTCCTTTCTCCAGTGTCTGTTTTTACGTCTCTCTCTCTGTGTCCTTCCCATCTTCTATTACCTCGTTTCTCTCTGATTCTCCCCACCTTTATACATTTTTGCTTTTATTTCATTGAATCCCTTTTCTAGAAACTCTTTTCCATATGATTATTTCTATTTTGATTATATCTCACTTCTTATTTTCTTAGTTGTTTTTCTCGCTCCTTCCTTCCTTTCTTTTAGTCTTTCGTCTTCATCCTATATTTATCGTTTTTTTAAGGTACTTTCTCTCTCTCTCTCTCTCTCTTCGTTACTCCTGCCTTCATTCTCTCCATTTTCTTGTCCTTTGCCCCACTTCCTTTTCTTCCTTTTCTCCACCTTTCTCTCCACAGCAGTTGACTGATCCTCTAACAGCAACTGACTCATCCACCAACAGCAGCTGACTCATCCACCAACAGCAGCTGACTCATCCACCAACAGCAACTGACGCATCCACCAACAGCAGCTGACTCATCCACCAACAGCAGCTGACTGATCCACTAACAGCAGCTGACTCATCCACCAACAGCAGCTGACTCGTCCACCAAAAGCAGCTAACTCATCCACCAACAGCAGCTGACGTCTTGGTCCTCCTCCTAGCACACTTCAGCAAGATACAATGCTCGAAAGTATAGATGAAGTCCGGGACATCCAAGAACAGAAAATGCACCCTAATCCACACCATTATAGCTCAACTTGATAATAGTATGTTGAGCACACTGCCTGTATTTCATGCTCTGACAGGCTCTGACACTACTTCCTTTTTGGCTGGTCACACCAAAAATTCCTGTTGGAATGTCTTCAAGGAGCATCAGAATCTTTTGAAATTACTTGGTAAAGGTGATCTCTGTGAGAAAGCAGTCCACGATGCCGAAGAGTTCATTTGCAGAGTCTACAAGTGCGATGCAGCTGCATCAGTCGAGCCCACGCCTTAGAAACCCTCCCACCAACAAATGATGCTCTGTCTTTCCACATAAAGTGTGCACACTACCAGGCATCCATTTGGCAGCAAGCTGACGTTCAGTATCCCATACTGTCTCTTCTTGAGACGATGGGATGGAGATTAGATGATGGCTCACTTGTCCGTGTTTTCAAGTTTCTGTCTTCAAAGCCAGACTCCTGCATGGAGCTAATCCGCTGCAAATGCACCAAACAGTGCACAAGTGTTTATTGTAAATGCAAGAAGTCAAAGCTGGTGTGTATTGCTGCATATAACTGCAGAACAGCTGACGAAATCTACAGGAACATTTTAAAGACAGTGAAATTCTGTGTTAATATTGATGACACTTTCTTTGGCCTGATTTAATTAATTAGCATGTTCACTTTCATTATTATATATTGCCTCAGTTTCATTCTCATTTCATATTGCTGTTTTTTTATATCAGGAGTTTCTAGATAAATGTATAAAAATAGTGAAAGATGCCTCCACAGGGTGTAATTTTTGGTTACTTATGTACGTGAATACGTTCACCGCATGATTCAATTTCGAGAGTTTATTATCAGAATATACTCCAAATTGTCAAATAACATAAAGAACTGTTTATTCTAAGGGTATAATTGCCGAGAGTGTGTGTGAAAACTCTAAATAAAAGCGTTATATTGTCTCTACCGACCAGTGTCAAAATTTTCAATACATAACTCTAACTCCAAAACAGTGCAACATTTAGCTTGTAATATTCCAGAAATGGATTCAGTGTACTAAAATCCTTCAGAAAAACGATTTGACAACTTTGTCTCAGATTTGCCGATCTCTCCTTAAATAATCTAAAATCTCAAAAAGAGAACCAGCTTATTAGATCAATGGCATCTGTAAATTCTTGTTTATTAAGGATGGAACCTTTTGCCCTTATCGGTAACGTTGTTAGCCAGTTTGAGGCGCCCACCTCCTGCTCTATAGCTACTTTTCTTTTCAAGTTATCTGGCAATTGCAGCTTCAGTTGTTGCAGTTTATCACTATAGGTGTGCTGTCATTCTACTACTACTACTACTACTACTACTACTACCATCATCACCATCACCACCACCACAAATACAATTACCATCACTACTACCACCACTACTACTACAACTGCCATCATTACTAAAAAAACATCACCACCTCTACCACCAGTACAACCACCATCTCAATCACCACTACCATCATCATCACCACCACAAATACAATTACCATCACTACTACCACCACTACTACTACAACTTCCATCATTACCAAAAACCATCACCACCTCTACCACCAGTACAACCACCATCTCAATCACCACCACCACCACCACCATCACAGCCCGCAGAGTTTATTCACACATTATACAAAGTCAGTACTACAAAGGTCATCCGCTACAATAGTTACACCCACTTCATTTCTATTCTTGTCTTACACTTGTACTAATATATGGCATTACTGTACGCTTACCCAGTGATCATGGTGTATATATCTGGTCTATTGGGAGTAATAATTGGCTATGTATGTGATTGTGTGTATTACTCTCTGCCTATAACTCCCATGGGGTGCGGTGGTCGAGTAGATATAGCAGTCACCTGGTTTGAACACGAAATACTCACATTCCAACACCCAAGTGAAAATAGTTATCGGGAACTTATTTTACACTTGAGGAAGAGAGGGTGGTCGAGTGCAGTGCCGGATACGCTGCCTCCTTGCGTACCGATGACTTATTATATATATTTAGCGGGTAGTCATGCTTATGGAACCCACTTTTATCACTCCATTGTCGCCAGTCGCTTACAAATTGTTCCGCCCAACATTGTCAACACTATCACGAGTTTCTATACTCCTGTTCCGCCTGGCTCTTGCAACAGTTTGTCTGAAGCCTCATCAAAAGAGGGATCCATCGGAAGCTTGCAACAATTCCGATACAGATTCATTGCGTTCCACCCAACACTTGCAACCGAAAAAAACAACCTTTCAGCTCTTCCATCCAACGCCGGCAAAATATCCTCCGACATCCACTCACGACAACTCCAACTGAAACTCACAAAAGTTCCTCTCGACGCTCACAAATCACGACAAAAAAAATGTCTGACTCACAACACAACAGTTTCTCGAGTCACTTTAAACCCCTTCCCCCGGTGCCTCACAACACCCTCCCCAGCTGCCTCACAACACCCTCCCCAGCTGCCTCACAACACCCTCCCCAGCTGCCTCACAACACCCTCCCCCACAACACCCTCCCCAGCTGCCTCACAACAACCCTCCCCAGCTGCCTCACAACAGTTATGCACGACAATTGGCTTAGCAGGACACTTGCCGAGGCAGATGCTGTCCATTGGATGCCATTATCCCCAGGAATTGAATTACTGGGGCTAATTATCATGGCGAGCTTCCATCACCGTGGAACCCTGTATACGTCCACGCCAAGATGAATTATGTATGTTGGGGTATGTACTTTGTATAATGTGTATTTGAGTATGATATGCTTGGTGGTGGTGACGGTGGTGACGGTGGTGATGGTGGTAGGGTGATGATGGTGGTGGGGTGGTGGTGGTGGTGGTGGTGGTGGTGGTGGAGTTGACGTGGAGAACAACAGTGAGAGATGGTGAGGGAAGGTGAGGAGGTGAAGGTGAATAAGGAAGAAGGGAAGCCGGGAGGGAAAGAGTGATGGTGGTGAGCGTGGGAAGGGAGAAGGAGAGGTAGAAGAGAGCATGAGGGACGGGGAAGATGGACCGTTAGCATTAAGGAAGAGAGAAAGTTTGGAGTAACGGCGAAGGTGAAAGGAAAGGAGAAATGGATGAATATGACGTGAAAAGAGGACACACACACACACACACAGCAAACAAATCAACACACTAGTTTATGTCACCAAACATTAGGATCTTAAAAAAAAAGTTGTGGTTCCTTAGGGTAAACTATAAGGCTTGAATAATAAGACAAATGTGTACTATAATAATAATGCTTTAAGACGAAGAAAACTTTTAACACTGCAAATGAAAGCCGTAAATATTATACAAATATTTTCAATTGTATACATAGTGAAGTTACATGTTATATTTTTTCATTGAAATTTTCCGTGCTATTTATATCGGGTTAAACAAAACTGACCATCAACTTTATATTACAGTAAGTATGAGTAAACGTTTTTCTAGACACTTGCAAAAACCATATGCTGTTGTTTACCATCCCAGTATGTTTATTTTCTCAAAAAAAAAACTCAGTCAAGTGGAAATACGATTGTTTTAAATTCATAACACACTTGTATTAAAACAGGAAAAAAAACTTGCACATCAGTTAATGAATAGAAAAATTAGTTGTTGTTATAAACATAACAATATAAGTGATTAGAAGACAAAAGGTGGTAGCAGTCACGGATGAAGTGCAGTTGTGTCGCCAGATCCACTTTGTAGTGAAGAAAGTTGATATTATTTTACAAACAACATTTCTTTAACTGGAAACTTGTCAATTTTCCATCGAGATTAATATGTCTTGTGATTTTTCCTTTCCTCGCCCTTTTGCTACACAATCTTTCTGTGGAAAAACTTTCAGTCATATTCTAATGCTTATTTTTATCATATTCAATTTTTGTAAAATGTGACTTTAACAGTACTTACTTATAACTGTGGATCACGTCATAACTGAGAGAGAGTCGGGTGTGTGTTATAACTGTATTGTAGTAACACCAGCGAGGAACACTGTGACTACACCCACGACTCCTGCCTGGTTATAACACTGTGACGGCATCCACGACTCCTGCCTGCCTGTAACAGCCAGCGGTAGATTATTTGGTCACCACGCATGTAGACGTGACATTATCCTCGCCGACAATACTTAGCGCGTGTAATGATGACCAACAACAAAGACAGAGTTATGGCAGCAGGTGTGAGAACTAAGGTGACTGTAACACGTAACTAACCGATTCGAATATCACCGCGCGGGAGGAGACGGTCGACGATTAGACTGGTTGGTCGCCCAGAAGGGTACTGATCCCATCACTGTTGCCCTTATTCTCCCCTTTTTAATGATGGAAGTGTAGCTAAATAATCCTACAAATATTCAACTGTTTTATATATGAAATCAAACTAAGAAAAGGGAAACTACACGTGGATATACAGACTTAAATTATTGTACACTCAGCTTCTTCAGTCCGTCAGTCCCAGTACAGTACAGTCACCCTCAAAAGCCCTGCCGCCTCTCCCCCTGAACCACGAACTCAGAGATTCAGGCTCGTAAATTCGAACCATTTATGGACAGAATAATGCACCAGTGTCTACTGCTTCGGGTTTACTAGTTTGAATCTCGGAATTCGTGGTTGAGGGGGAGAGACGACAGGATTTTTGAGGGTGACTGTACTGTACTTAGTTATACTTCAGGCCTTTGGCACGAGGGCTTAGGGGTGACAATATCATTCACAAAGCCAGTTTTCATGACCAAAAGACGAGAACATCATAGTTAAATACTACTGTAGCCAATGGGTAAAACTATAGCACTTAAAGTGTTGTTACGATAATGAACACTTGAATAAATATATAATACTGAAGAGGTTAAAATAATATGATAATTATACTTTAAGTTCCTCTTCATATCGTTGATTGCCTTTTTTTTAGTGATACAATAAATATTCACGTCTGCTGAAACTGTAAGGGTAATGTGTGTAAAATTGACTCTGATTTGAATGTTAGTGTTCTCATATGGACCAATTAGAATGATACTAATTGAGTGTGGACAACCGTAATTAACATGAATGATGTTCCAACACAAGATATTAAAAAAGGCATAATTATTTAACATCTGCAACATGTAAAAAAAAAAAAAAAGACTAATTGAACCACAATCCCCGAACCTACATCATGATGATTTGAATTTAAGGTTTGTTTAGTATCCTCATGGCAGCATCGTCTGAGCAGGGCAAAATAATGCAACTTTTCCAGCGAATCTCATGAATATTAAAAACAAAAAATTATTTCACCTGATGATTAAACACCCTGA